CTACAATAGTCAATGGCAAAATATCCGCATACTAATTACATTCTATATAAGTCTCTTAAATGCATTATTAATCTGGTCTGGGATTGATGTACTTGCTATATTCAGCAATACCTGCCAAGCGGATCATCCTGAACAGCGTTGTCTTTGTCAAAGAGCTGGGCAACCACCGTGTTGTAGGCTCCCAAGCCCTCTTCCACTACAAACTGTCACCACATAGTCTATTTTAGTTGTCTTTCTCATTAAACAAAGTCATCTAATCACTCTCTGAACAATTAACAAAAATAATACAACTGTTAAAAAATACGTTTTATTATAACAAAACAGCACCGTTTAAATTAATGTTATAATTATTCAACAACAGATTAATCAAATTTACACAAACTATTAACAAATACATTTAAAAATCATTGTGTAAACTATGTATTAATTTAAAAAAAAATATGGTAAAAGTTATCTTGAAATGTATATATACTGAAAAATGTATTATCTTAAAAAATTTTAAATATAAAATATTTACGTGCAGTACATTTAAGAAGCTGCCATATCTGTATCATTAATAAAATAAATTAAGATAGTGAAATAGTGAACAGATAAAGCAGTTTATTATTGCTTTCCCACAGATAACACACACTGCACCACAAAATAATAACACAAACGTGACAACATGCTTAAATAGCAATATCAAAATTAATGTCTGCATATTTTCATTAATGGTGCATGCATAAGCATTGCCTCAATCACAAATTATTATGTTACTACCTGCCAAGGAAATCATCATATTGTACACCTGGGACATTTGGATCCCAATCCCAAAGAGATACCACAGCTTCTTGCATATTGCATGAACTGATCATAGCCTGCGCGTCAATATTACGTTGTATGATAAATAGTAAAGTAATGTACTAAATTGTTTCACAGCAGCCATGTAACATATGTGTCTCTATTCCTCCTTTCTTCTTCTCATATTATTATATTATTATATTATATCAATATACATTACATGTGCTATGAACATCATATAGAAAATGGTCATAATATATAAAAATATATTCAATTATATATATAATATGACATGTACAGAATTTAATCTGAACAATGACTGCAATATGCCGCTAAATAGATTAAGCGTCATTATTCCATAATGTGACGATTTTTTTATGTATATCCAATATAAAGCATTAGTAAGGAAAATTAATAAAATGTATTGAGATCAACATGCACCCACAAGTATCACTCTCAAACAATACTCAAACCAATATAAACATATTACACACCAGCATAATGAAATCATGCAATAGGAGCTTTTCCATAGATCAATAGAATAAGTCAAATAAATTGAGTAAATAATTTTAAATCAATTATATACAATACAAAAAAAAATTATATGAAATTATTTTATAAATATTTACTGACAAAGTAATCTTATTCTGTTTCATGGAATTTAATTTTGAAATATGAATTTATTCCTACATGATCAATCAGTGACACGAAATCTATTATCTTGAATAAATAATGAAAACAAAATACATAATGTTGTTTGTAACTATACCTTCCAAGACTTTCATCACCCTTAGTGTCATCATAGTCCCACAGCAGTATAGTCAGCTGTTGCGCGATGGCTGAAGTCACGGCACACTAGTCCCATATAATATATGTTGCACATCACATACACACATACATACCAACTTATGGAATTAAATTATATTAACATAGACTAAAAATGTATATTCTATGTGCAGTCCGAAAAAGGCGACATTAAGAATAATAAAACGTATGAAATGTGATGAAAATTGTTTTTAAGAAAAGCGTTTGCAGTTAATTAAAAATTATATATATAAAAAAGCAGAAGTTGACTATCTATAACGTTATATTGTGCATATAATATATTTAATATTTAGTATATAAAATATATTTATTTATTATTTATGAAGAAGTCAAATAAAAATGCAAGAGAAAGTGGTGTATCTTATTCCGATCTTTAACTCGATAAATTAATTTTGAGTAAAGTAAAATGTGTATAAAAAATTCTGACGAAAATTTGCTTTATAAATTACTGAAATACTTTTCTTACCACATAGAAGACCTTGTGTTGTATTTTTTTTTTTTAATATATGTCGATAAATGGCGATAAAGCACATGCATTAAACGTTGTTAATATTTTTTGCTCGACCAAGTATGAAATGTAAGTATGCACATACCTCACACCAGAAATCCCACTTTGGATTAACGGTATTGTCAATCGTTTTCGTTCTAAATTCCTGAGCACCAACATTTATGATAGCATATGGATCAGACTTGCCTTTACCTAACATTCCAATATCTTTTTTCATCAGATGCTTTGCTTCCACAACATGAATTCGCAAAATGCCCTAATATAAAAAAAAAAACAAATATTTTAAAAAGAATAGAATGCGTCAATATATTGATACGTAATACAGGAGATGTCGATTTCTATAAAGCAATTAATTAATCGATTTTTGTAGAACTTACTTCGGGTTCAGGCATTTTTAAAGACTCCATAGGTACTTCTTCGCTTAGCGGTATAATTATTTTATTTGGCAGTACAACAATAGCTGCTATCTGTTCAACGATTGTTTTCCTCAGAATTTCACTGAAAGAAGTGTCGCGTTTTTACTTAAATCGTTCCATATTAAATTAAATCAACTTTAAAATCAGATATAATTATCGGAGAAATCATACTTAAATCCGGGTAAATCTAATACATCAGCCACTCCCACCAAGTTGAAGTTAATAGTAGGATTATTCAAGTAGAATATCTGTACACCTCCGATCAATGGCATTATGGACAGCATAGGTTTCATAACAATGCGCACCAAACCACGAATCTGAAATTTTTAATTCATATAAAAAACTCGAAACAATATACTGTTGCGAGAAAGTGTTGCGTCCTCGCCGTTTTGATTTTTGTCGCCCGATATCGTGTTTGACAGCTGATAGAACCGCGATCGATATATTGATTTGCTGAGTTAATAAAAGAGGATAGTTGCTAAGAAATAGTAAATGTTTAACAGTTACTAGGATATTGAAAATAAACAAGTTGTTGCTAAGAGAATGTAAACAAGGAGACAGATGTGAGATTTTCGGGAGCTGCAGAAAAGTGCAGACGTGTTTCTGCTAGCTCAGCGGTGTACCATTTAAACGAGCTTGTTCTGTGTTATACCCTTCAATGGTTGAGTAAAATAAAGTTTCTGTTGTGTTCGTAAAAGTGTTCTTTCTTTTGTGCGTGCCGTTTGTGACGAAAAGACCGTTCGCGAGCGCAACAATACTTTATACAATCGAGTTAGCCTTCAATATGCTTACTTGGAAGTCTTTAATACCACCCTTGATATTTCCAACAAAAAAAGTAATATCACAGTCACCAGCATACCTGTAAATACAAAAATACAATAAAGCACATAATCTTTTTTAAATATATTTTGCAAAAGAATAGAATGCTTACATAATATCCGCATCTAAAATAATTTCATTTCTTGAGGTATTTTTATCATAAACTTTGATTCCATAAATTTTTGGTGGCTACGAGAAATTGTTTAATGTGAATATTAAGGTAAAAGTATCAAAAATATTTAAAAAACATTTAAATTTTAAAAGATATTTAAAAATACGTTAGAAAACAAAATCAAAGAAAGTTAGAAACTTACAATACGACCCAAGACTAGACGATCGAATTGAAAATTCATTTTGTATTCAGTCAGTCTCGCAACAATTGATGGTTCTATATTTTGTTTACACAGTTGGCGAACAAACTGATTCATACTTGGCCATACTTTATATAAGATCTAAAAATGTGGAAAATAAATTGCGATTATTATAATTTTTATTTCTAATCGGTTATAAACAGCTTAATCTTGATCTTCTATGCGAAGATAATTGTACAATTTGTAATATAAAGTTAAACAAACTATAATACGTACTCTGTTTAACCATTCAGCTCTATCAAAGTCTGGAAAATACACCCACGAGGGTAACTCGTCTATCCGACCGACAATTAACTCCTTTTCCTTAGCTAATACGCTGGCTTGTGCTGTAATCGCTCTCAATTCATTATCCCTTTTCCGTTCTGCTTTCCACACGGAAAATGCGATTGGCGCGATCAACCAAGCTATACTGAAATTATAGTATCCCCATCCCCATATGACACTAGCTGCTGCTAGTTTAACTACGAATGACAGTGTCAGCGAACTAACGGTCATGTATGGCCAAGTATTCGGTTTAGAAACCTTGTCGGAAGTATTATTTCCTGAGTCTCCTTCCATTATCCTTGACTTTTATTATCGGGCCTTATTACTTATCAATCAGCCTCGGGTTTTCTGTAAATAACATATATACAATCCTTCCTATGTGTAAAATAATTTGATTTTTTTATATCCTTATCATTTTATCTGTATTTTTATCATTTAATTTTCTTTTACTTTTTATAAGGTTTCATACATATTAATATCTCGTATATAAATCTCTTTTGAATCAATGCTTGCTTCAAATAATTATCTCAGGTTTGAATAGCTTTTCAAATTGTTATCTCTGTATTCAATAAATACAAATATTTAATTTGAAAAAATGCGCAATAATTACGTTTCACTATTACAAAAATTAATAGCAAGATACGTTTGATTGCATTCCACAGTGCATTTATTTAATTAACATTCATTGATATAATGCCAAATGAGTAACAAGTTCAAATAGATTTTACTTTGAAATTGTTCCATTGCATAGTCGCACTAGATCTACCTACGCATCAGATCGTATCAACTTAATTTGCGATGGCCTTCAAGATCAGAAAGAGAAAGAGAACATAAAATTTTATGGTGACACAGGCCAGTCCCAAGACGCCACCTTTTCAATCAAGGCCAAATATGTAATATATCAGATGATAAATTATGCATGCTACGATCAAAATAACAAATATTGATTCACGATTACTCCTATGCTAGATTAACAAGAACTTTAATTTAAATGATTGCGCAAGATACAAAAAAAATAATGATCAAGATTTGAGATTTATTCATATTTATATTTTTATATGATTAAATATAATAAAGTTCAGTAATACAGCTCAAAATTAAATTAATTAAAATTTTTATATATCTATCATCTTATTTTGTGCATGCGCGCGCGTGTGTGTGTAACTTTTGTCATTTTTATTATTATACCTGCTTTTAGAAAAAATTACTGTCTTCTCAAGATTATTAATATTTATATCAATAATTCTAATTATAATTACGAGAGAAATAAGCTTTTTTAAACTTTCTTTATTGCGATTTTTGATCGTAAATATCGATTACAAAAAAATAAGCGTCATATATCTTAAAAAAATTCTGCGAGAATCATAAATAACACTGCATAAAACAATTAATTTAATGTGCTTATCTTGCATAAGCACTTGCATAATTACTGTACTACGGCATACATGCATAAAAGTCGCACGCATTAAAGTTATTGAAACTGACAAACGTAAGAAACGAATTGTTTTCAAAATCTAAACAATTCTCGTCAGTTCCTGATCTACAACAGTCAAACCATTTCTTGTTTTTTTTTTGTCGTAAAGAATGATTCATCAACGATAAGATATGATTTTTATAGCATTTGCGGTTGTAGACAAAGATTCAATCCGCACTTGTAAAACGCAAAAAAAGGAAAGATTGCGACAGTAAAAATGGATTCTTCGAATCGGAGGAATTTACCGCGAATGTTTTCCTTCAATTTTTAGCGAAACAGATAGTTTGGTCAAAATCTAAACATAGCTCAATCCACAGTGAGATGAGCAGAAATTATAGATACTCCATTTTAGCAGCGTGTAGTTAGATATTTAAAACAGTTCATAAACGAAAAATGGGGCATAGTAAAAATAAATTAGATCTGATGAATTAAACTAAAAAATGCATACGTGAACAAGTTTCTTATTGTTTATATATACTTAATTATTATTTTATTCAACCAAAACATCAAATAAACAGAATATAATAAAAACACATTAATCTGCTATAAAAATTTACTATTATAAAATAATCATCCAATAAATAAATATATATATATATATATATATATAAACAAGAATTGCAAAGCGATTGCAAGAATCACAAAAGCGGTTGCAAATTTCTTTAAGAAGCTTTTAGGAAAGAAAATCTTAGAAGTTTTCGTTAAAACGGATTGTGGAGCCATAAAAAAAGGCTGCAAACAATCTTCATGTACAAAAAGTCGTTGATTTTATCGCGACTAATAGATCTGTCCTTTTAAAGTCATATCAGTTTATACGCACAGAATAATACATTTGCATTCATTATAAATCCGGGAAATGTAATACAACATTTATTATTATAAGACGAATATATTCGTTCATCTTAGATCGATAAATTAACCTTTTCACATATCATAAAAAGTAAACATCACCTCATTTGATAGAGAACAGATAATCAAGTGCATGTCAACGACAATCATTCGTCTCGTATCGTAAAATTCTATTTTGAAAAATTTAATTCATTTAATCTACGAAAAAAAAGGGTTAATGCGTTTGAGTAGTTCATGACAATGAAATAACAAGCAGCGTTAACTTGTTCGCAATAATTGAGACAATAATCACTTACACTTGAGATCGAGTATAACATCAGCATACGCGTATTCTATTTTTTTTTAGCGATGACAGCGTCGAACATGCGTGAACATGCGTAACAGCAGACAACTGACTACCACACTAGACCGCTTGTGTGTCAGCATTACCAATCAACTGCCAATACTACATCCATAGATATAATAAGTATATGACTGCTGACTGCATGGAATAGTGACTTTGTAGCTTACGCAATATTTACATTGCATCCGAAGTTTGATGCGTGAAATGTTTTCTTATTGGATGTTGCATCTTGCAGTGACGTATGCAATATGAAGCAGGCATAAATGGAGAGTATTCGCACTCTTTGAATTACTAAGGCACTAGATATGTAGGTATTCTCATCCGCCATTTTGGTTCCTATTAGATGGAGAATTATAGCGTATACAAGGTGACACTTATAGCGTTTTCGATTATACAGGATTTGAACGACCCAGGGTTGGTTAATGACGTCATTGCAACCTCTCCACTCGTATAACTTCGTATAATGTA